AAACCTTATAGATCTAAAATGCCTGATAAAATTTCCTAAAACAATTAGCTCAATCCAATAAGCTGTCAACTTAGTTAATTGCCCAAACATTTCATAAAAAATTTTACTCAATAGACAACATGTTCAATTATCTAAAGAACATAAGTTAATAAACTCTCAACTTAGATAAGCTAATTACTTTTATAAAAACTCTCCACAAAGTTAATTACATAAACATTCTATTAAAAAATGTACATATTACATAAATAAACATTTTATAAAAAATAATTTTTCAAATCAGTCAACCACTATTTTGAGGTTCTTATATAAATAATTTTTCAACTCAGTTAACTACTACACATTTTATCAAATAATTTTTCTTAATGAACATGCTCAATTATTTTCTAAAGAACATAAGTTAATAAAATAAACTGCTTTCAACCTTTCAAAACGGACTAACAAATTTTAGCGATCAAGCAGTCAGAAACTGAAAAGCATGAATGAAAATGAAAATTAAAGTCGGGTTAGTGAAAAGTTCTTTTCACTATCTAAATAAAACGTACGAAAACAATAAATTATAAAAAAAACCTTCTTGATTTCAAATAAAATATCTTGTAGAAATCTTCATTTTTAGATGAAAAACTAATTCTTTTTGCACCGGAAAATAAAAAAAATTTTCGAAGTGCCCGGTCTTTTGAATGTTTGAAAACGCCGACAAATCGCGACAGCTCTTTAGCGAGATACCTGTCAGGTAACGCAAGAATCGGAGATGTCCCAATAATTATTCCAATTATTTTAATGTACTGTATCGCAAAATTGTACTTTTTTTAAATTACAGAATGGCTTTTTATATTTAAATTGACTTTTTTTCGTGCAGTGTATTACGCATTCAAATATCTTCACGTCTAATTTGTTTGAAAAAAGTAAGTTTATGAAATTAGCAACGTTTCTTTCCTCTAAAAAAAATCATTTATTGGAATTCTGTTTTCAGCTTGGATGGAAAGAGCATAAAAAAAACTTGCATTACATTTCCTATACAAATATTAAAACAAAAAACGAGCAGATCTCATAAACTATTTAACAAACTATAAACAACTTTACTTAAAAGTTCATTAAATCACAAAAGAAGTCGTGATAAAAAAGATGAAAAAATTATGATGGGGATAAAGATAAAACCAAACGTTATGGGAAAAAATTAAGCTGGTTAGTTCAATGTTTATAAATAAACATAAAAGGGTTTAGACACTAACTCTAAGATTTTTATCAGATTAGTAAAATCAATCAATCTATCAATCAATCTATTAGTTTATATAGCGCTCCTCTGTAAATTTTGCCAACAGATGGGTCATGTATGTATGTATGTATGTATGTATGTATGTATGTATGTATGTATGTATGTATGTATGTATGTATGTATGTATGGTTGAGTATGCATAAACACAGCCTTGCCTGAGGCAGTGTTGCGCTAATCGTTGTAACCAATCTATC